TGGAAACCAAACGACTTGAGAAAAAATTTTCCATATTTTGAACTTTACACAATATCACTTTTCCTTCTCCAAAAGATTTGCCAGAACAGCTCTGTTAAGTCAGTTAATAGCATTGTCAAGGTCACATTAATTCAGGCCCATTATTTTAAGAAATAGATCACGGTCTACATGTTGCCAGCACCCACTTTTCAATGAACAGTATGTTGGATATTGAGAGCCTGCATGCCCAAAGTGCCATGCCTAAAGGTTGCTCCTTTTCCCCAATTTTAAGAGAAAAACCAGCCATGCAGAAATCCTGACTTAGCATTGATAACCCCTAAAGGATATATGTATATTTCCTAGATTACATTAGCGACTTATTTAAACGCTTGCCATATTTATAAACTATCCAGTAGACTGGTATTAACACTCCTGTTTTCAGCAGCCATTAGTTGGCAAATCTTGAAACTAGCCTAAGTTTTCACCTTTTGATCCACTGCCAGTCTTGTGGGTAATGATTACAAATATAAAATCTTTTCCTTATTTTGTTTCCCCCCAGATTATTTCATTAGAGGCTGAGTGCATTAATGTAAACTTTTTAAGAATCATGACCTATGACTCAAATGCTCTTTCTCAATCTAAATGGAGCCAGTCAAGTGCTTGTGCACTAAGTCCTCCTCCTCGTACCTGGGCAAGTTGTTTCTAATTTCCGCAGATCAGGGTGGTTCCGAGACTACATTCTGAATACATCAATATACATAAATGTTCCTGCTCATGCCCCCTAACACAAAGACAGTTTCTTAAATAACGTAAGTGGCGCCAAGGCCCCATCTCCAGTGACCTGCTAGAGCAGAGCTTGTATTTTGAGACAGGCTTGGAAGGGGCTCACACAGGTAGCCACACAAGAGTATCACCAGCGTTCAGTGTCAAGGGTTTTTCCAGCCTCCTTTCAGCCATTCTTTCATGATGGGTCATGAGTAAACCTTCTATTCAAACTACAACAAGGTGATTTAATAAATTACCTGTTACCAAGCTGGCAGGGGAGGTGGGGAGCCTGACTTCTCAGTGGGTCTTGGCATTATGTGGCCACATGAATTTCTATTTTCCTGATCTAGAGATATGTTAGTACAGGACAACAGATTTGTTTTTTTCTGGGGCCTACTTCCAATTTACAGTAACAATAATTCATTTTAAGTAGTTTGGTTAAGTACAGGACATTAGGATAATAACACCCACATCTAAGTGCACTCACCTAGTTGGTCTGAAAATAAGAAGTCAGAATTTTTGAAGCCTCGGGAACTTCATACAGGAGAACATTTCCTTACATTTCCATTCCTTCTTGCTTTAGCCACCAGTTCCTAGTAATATTTAAAAAAAAACTTGTATATTTGAAAGCTTTTTTGGGAAAAACTCTGAAAAAATTCCTTCATAGTTTTCACACTGCCCATCCCTATCCTCAATTTTGTGGCGTATCTTGTCCACATGAAGATAGAGCAATGGCTTCCAAGTGTTCCAAGATACTTGCTTTATTATGTCAAGCTGTTTTGTGTGTGGAGTCATTACTACAATTCTAACTGACCACACATCACAAACCAAGACCCAGATACAAAGAAAATGCTACCTCTGAGTGTTAACCGGCCATGCGGTGGAAAGAATACAAACATGTTTCCCCCCTACAAGTTATCCTATCTTTTCCAATGACCCACCAAATCCCATTTGAATTCAACTGTCCATAATGATAAAGAGAAGCAAGCTCAACAGAGTCAAGACTGAACTCAAATGCACAACGTCCTTGTTTCTCCCTGCCCATCTTCTCAGAGGCATGATGCTTGGCTTAATACTTAAAGCGTTGGGAAAGGAAGAAGCATTTATAAAAAATAACACAATGACTTCCCATCAAAGCAGGTTTTCTATTGTTCTGGAAAACCAAGTAATGTAAGTGGAGAGGAACAGGAGGATGCTGAGCTGGCTCAAGGACTCACAGAGCTTTCCGCACACAGTCTCAAGACATAAACCACATCAGACTGACCCAGGCACGGTGGCTATGTGGACCCAAAGCAATCATTTGGCTCAAAATCAACTCAAACTTTCTAGACATTTTTAGGCAGCAGATCCTTACAAACATGTTCAACAGCATCCAAACATTCAATCAGGGACAAAGCAAGGTCACTTAAATAGAATCATAAAATGCTCCATTTACCCATGGCTTGGGAAGAAAATGGTTGCAGTGCTAGGACTACACTTACTAAATCAGACTCCCTCATAATTACTTAACTGTTCATGTTAAATACATCACAACCTTTGTCAAGTATCCACAGCAAAGTTAAAAAAAAATCTGAAAGGACTGGTATAGATTTTTAGTCGACTATACAATAAAGAAGCTGGCCTCTCTACATTTATAACCTTTTAATTTTTTTAGAATTTTTAAAAATTTTAAGATTTTATTTTAGGAAGAGAGAGAACGAGAAAGAGGACACATGAGGGGGAGGGGCAGAGGGAAAGAGAGAGAGAGAAAGAGCGCGTGAGAGAATCTCAAGCAGATTCCATGCTGAGAGCCCGAGGAAGGGCTCCATTCCACGACCCTGAAATCATGACATGAGCCAAAATCAAGGGTCCCATGCTTAACCAACTGAGCCACCCAAGTACCCCTACATCCTTGCTTAGTAAGCAAAACATAAACCAAATACCTGATTTCATCAGCTTCTTCTCAACTAGTCATCACCCTTCAAAATGGGGATTTTAACATACTTTTAATTTTACTTTCTGAATATTCTCCCAATCCCAATCTTAAAACATAAATCTGCTTGCAAACACATATTCTCCTTTCTATTCTCTATCTCCTCAGACTCCCACCCTAACTAAAAAAGTAAATAAATAAATAGAAGTTGTTTCTTTTTAGGCTCAAAAGCTGATTTAAGGACCTAACTTCTCTTAACAGATTACTACAGAATTGAGACATTATTAACAGCTTTGTTTCCCTGTAGTTAACTGGATCTGACGATGCCTTTTCCTTTCACTTAATTTCTTTCTTTCAACACCACCAACACTGGAATACAAGCTTTATTTTCCTGCATCTTTTCCAGTAAGGGTGAAATACAAGCCACTAAATTAGAATCTCCCCTCTCTCACTAATAAGAAAACCAGGAAGTTGGATCTAAAGTGTTTGGTTTGTCCTTGTCCTCCTGGAAGAACTCCCGGTCTTTAAACTGACAGTGCAGCTGTTGCCTGAAAATTATACAGAAAGATTAATATATTCTCAAAATGATTTTCTGTCAGGCAAGTTGAGTGTTAAGGGCTTACAAAATACTTACATCTAAATAAAGGCAATGCTCTTTGCATCTATAGGAAAGTAACAAAAATAATGTGGATGTAGATTATAAAGCTCAATTTTATTTTAACCCAGCACTAACTGACAAGAGTGTCCTGTGATGACCGACTGCTTGGACAATGTAGGGTGTCTGCCGTCACTGAGCCAAAATACGATCACATGCTTCAGAGTCAGAGGTCGGGTCCTCAAAGCAAGCCAGCTCTCCCAGGCAGAGATGAGAACAGGATGCTGGTGGCTTCTATCAACACCCAGATGACAAGTGAGAAATAGTGAAATTTATAGCCATAAATCTTTCAGAGGCAAAATTAAGTCAGCAATTTATTGGTACTTTATGAAAATACAGAAAGCAAGGATAAAACAGCATTATGGTGCATAAAGACGCAACTGAACTAGTAGTCAAGGCTGAATTCTAGTCTTAGCTCCTTCTAACAGAACTCAGGTGAGCCCCTCTACCACTCCGATGAGAGTTGTCTTGATGGAACTTGATGATCTGCAGCAGTCTTTCCACTGTGAAATAAGCATTTTAGATGTAAAGAGGGAGGGGATCTACCTTATTGCAATTATATTTTAATGTCCACCACCTATTTAGTCCTAATAAACAACTGTTTAAATATGGTGGTATTGATGTTTAAAAATTCTTAGACTTGGGCTTGCTTGGATGAAAATCCTCACACATCTAGCCATAACCAAGATAAAACTGAATTTAGGTCAAGACACGCCCATCAGTCCAAGACAGAAAGTGGTGTCAATATGACACCTGGAACTTCCAGTTCTGTAATGTAACTTAATACTGTTAAAATGGAATTTCCTCTAGAATAGAAAATTTAAAGAAAACCTTTACTAAAGTAAGTATAAAAATATTTTGTGGTTGCTAAAAAAAAGTTAAGGGACCTTAAATTTACTAGAAATTTCCCAATACACAAATACCTAAAAACCACTCACCTATAAGCTACCATCTGTTAAATTTTACTCAAAATAATTGTGTGCTATTCACATCTTGATTTCTCAGTTCTGATGGTGGTACAAACCAGTTTAAATTTACACTGGACTTGAGTAAAATTAAATACTGCATCAATAGTTAGGATGACCACTGATGTAGATTTAAAAAAAAAAAAAAAGCTATGGCTAATTTATGTAGACATTTTCTTATAAAGCCAAAATTTTCAACAGACTCCTTCATGTAATGGAGGATACATGTATCACATGTAGACAGTCTTAGCACTAACTGCAAAATATGTTCCCCATCATATTCATAAGAGCCCATATACTATACCTTTTCCCAGTGGCTTAACTAAAAAGCAAAGGTTAAAAAAAAAAAAAATCCATCAATGAAAGACCAAGATATTATAAGAGAATGCTGTATTTTGGAGGTAAGATATAAAAATGTCAATAAAATAGGTGTGCAAAGCAAAAATTTCTCTTTTCTTTTCCATAAATAATTTTCTATTGTATATAAATAGACCTTATGTCTACACTTGTCCTTTAAGAACTCCATTTCTAAAGGACAGTAAGTTATTTCAGGAATTTCTCCTTTGATTAGATAAATATAATGTGACAAGAGCAATTCTGAGGCATTTGTATCACAAAAAAATTTTTTTCTAAGTTTGGTTAATACATTCTTAAGTGCTCACATTTGTACAACAGAAACAATTTTTTAATGGAACATATTATTGAAATGTTTAAATTTGGCTAAAGCTCTTAGAAGGCATTTTGTAGCATCCTACACACTAGATTCCGTAACTCGGTTTAATCTTCAGACACCCACTTGTGCCAAAGTCAGCAGCACAGAAAATTCTATTTATCAAAACGGAGGTTCCTGTTTAAAGAACCATCTTTGATACCATTGATTAAGAACTACTTAAGTCCCACATGAACTCCTGTATCTGGCTTACTGAAATGACCAGTAAACTGCATTATCATTCTGATTTTAGGGAACCTCAATGTTTCTGGAATGCCAAGAGCTCCAGTTTGACCTTGCAATGTGAATGTTCTGTGGCTTCCAGGGAGCTGCTGAGCAGCTGTCACATTTCCCAGCGGAACAGGGTGTAACATTCTTTCTGCTCACCGTGTTTATTTAATGGCACACTCTCTCAGGGCATGCAGTCTGCTGAGAACTTCAACCATCATCATTCACTGTTCTGTACCCTTTACTACTATCTGTAGTCAAAAAAATTGTTTTTATCCATTTTAATCTCTCCACAATAAAGAAAAACACAGCATTTTAGCCTATTTGGGTCAAATTAATTTTATTATGCTCCATGATGAATTGCCACCAGTGCAACATCCTATCACTATACATTTCAAAAAAATTCACATACTAAACAAAATTTCAATTGATAAATGGAAATGAATGATTGAAAAGTCTTTATGAATCTCACACATACAATATGTGGCTAGCTGAAATTGTCTATCACGTAGCATATAAAAAGCCTCATGCTAGTTTGTTAAATGCGAAGGCTATCAGACAATCATTTAGCTGCAGTATATATGGGAGGCTTTCAGACAACGCACAGGAATAGCGCTGCCCACAGTGCAAGGTGGTGGAGGACTGAAACATGCAACCTTTACATCTACAGTGGGTTTAGTCTTCATGCCTGGACTGAACTCCACAGCTGCTGTGTTTCAACCAATAGTAATTTAGACTTTGTGCAATAACAATAACAGAAAGCCTTTTTTTCTTTTCTTCAAGAAAAATAAACTCAAGTACCTTTGGCAAATTTTGTTTAAAATTGTTTCCAACTCAAAGAATTGATATCCTTTTACTCAGAGCAGCTCCTGATAATACATATCACACTGAAGTTAGCTGGAAAACCCTGAATTCCTTGGCCAAAAGTTAAGAGAGATCTTAAGTTGGCATTACCTTAAAGACATTTCTAGGATATTTAAAATGTTTTTTAAAATGCCAAAATGAAAAAAAAGAAGGATGTTTAATATTACTTAAAATAATTATAATGTTCTATTTACCATTTGCACAAATTCCTAACTCTATTGGTTAATAGCTGTCCAGCCTCATCCACACCAGACTCAGCGTCACTGAGCGCAAGCCATGATAAAAATGAGAATAAGCAGAAAAAGGTTTCTAGCAGCAGAGGGCACTGTTTTTGCAAGAAACAAAAAGTCAACTCTTTCCCTTGTGTTTAAATTACTCTTGCAAGAAAGGTAACATTCTTTGAATAACTTAACTATCTTACTGCACCACTTACTGCTTTCAGCAACAAAACCTTTTAAATTATTTCTTATGATAACTAGATGCATGATCACTAGAGATTATGTGATAAATGGTTAAAATTCAAGCTGTATCTTGCAGGTCCAGCCTGTCAAGATCATGCCAATACTAGATTTTGGTCGGTACAATTCTAGAGAGCTTAATTTTTAGTTGGATATTGTGATTATAGTACTGAAATACATTTGGAACTACATTCTGCATATGACTCAATGTGAGAAAAATACGTGTCTGTATTTAAATCAGATCGTTTTCTACCTAAAATTTAAAGTAGGTAGGTATGATAATTAGCACTATAAATATGAAAACAACCACCTTTAGGCAGATTAGTGTACTGAAGAGAGGCAAGGAAACCCTAATTTTAACACATCATTTAGTACACATAACAAATGTGCAGGTTGTAAAGTTTTATTTTAAAAAAAAAGAATCTATCATTCAGTTATGTGGTTCAAGAAATATAACACTGGGGCCACCAATCTTTTAAGAAAAATGTAACCCTTCACCTGACATTTGACAAAAACCTTGAGAAATTATATAAAAAAATTTTAAATAGTGTAACTGGTTCAGCATTACAGTGTTTACCTTTGCCAGCTAGATTTAATTTGTATGGTGGATATTTCTGAATACCTCAATCCATATAGACTACACAATAAAAATAATTCCACATCATTTTTAGAAATGTTCTGATTTTTATAGTGCATTTAACCAGATACTGAGGTAACCATAATGTATAGCCTCCTTCAGTTTATGTAGAGTATTACCCCTAAAATCCCCCGAACTGCAAAAACTTAAACAACTGTTTAAGAGTAATACCAAAAATATTTTAAATTTTTGCTAAAAAGAGCCTGCCACATTTGCTATAGCATAAAAATAATCTCAGTCAAGTACAGGTATGCAAGGTCTCCTTGTGATTCCAGCCTCCAAATACCACTTCTGTCCAAGAACAGGCAATATTGTTTTAAGAGGTGTGTTACTAATTTTCCCAACTAGTGTCTCTGTAGTGACATTATGCAGGGCATATTGCTACAACTTGAGAAACTGCATCAGTGTAGTGATGTCTAGAGAACTGTGCAATGTGTCAACTTCAACATTCATGTAGCATGGTGTTCAAAATGAAGGGGCTAAATAAACTAAGGTCTGTATCACTTAAAAAAGAATGTAGTGCTATACTAGATTTTAATAAGAAAATTTAGGTACAGAAAAAGTAGGGTATGAAAATAGTGTTTTCCTTCTGGCATTATAACTAAATTACATTAAGGTTTTTGTCAGTCTCACATATAATATCTAAACTCCCTTGTTGATGGAATGAAAAATATTCACAAATTAAGTGAGCATCCTGGTGTAAACTTGCACACAATAACAGGGAGTAGCTTTGTAGAGGATTTTGACAAACCTTTACAGATTAAATGAGGTATTGCACAGATTAATTAAAAAAAAAAGCAAAAAAGGCAACAAAAATATACAGCAAATTGGTAGAACATTTACAGGATAATTTTACAGAATCCATAGACAGAAAGTAGTGTTTAGTATTTCACCTTAAAAATATATATATATATATAATATATAGATCAGTCTTCCCATTCATCATCATCCTCAAAATCTTCTTCCTCATCTTCATCCTCATCTTCATCTAAAAGAAAACCATCAAGGCAAACATTCAAAATATATGTATAAATAAAATAACATTACATGATTCTTGGTTGAATTCTCCAATTACTTAACTTCTGAAACAAAACCATTCGATTCTGGAGAAATCTGGTAACAAAGACAATTTAAAATGAATCAAATAAAATATATCTAAGAGTATAATGGTCAGTTGAAGATTAGACCAGGAGTCAGAAGACTTGGGTTCTAGTTCCTTAGTATCTATGTAGAGAATTTCAACCAGTGTTTGTTTATATGTAAACCTACATTTGGGTTTGTCTCTCAATTTTCACACATCTCAAATCCAAGAGAGGCCTCTTTAATGACTATTTTTAAAGAAAAGTTGTAAAAAATACACCTGACAGATTGTTCTACCACCAATTCCAGGTACAACTCCAGTGATAGGCAGGAAACTCATTGACACTGAGGACACTGAGCCACTAAGGAAACAGAGCAGGCAGACCAAATACCTAGCCTCCCTTCCTACCCTCCTATTCTCTTCTGAACCCAATGACATTGCTCTTTCCAGGTCACCAATCACCTACTGTTCCTAAAGCTAAAGCTCAATTTCCTTTTCTTACTTTCTTGACCGATCACACAGATCTAACCCAGATCGTCACTCCATCCTACTTCAAACGCTTCATGTGGCTTCTGACATACTGTACTCTCCAGCCTTCAGACCTTATTACACCTCTTCTCTGTTTACATCCACTTCCTTCATGATCCCATCCCATTCTGTAACTTTAAATACCACGCCTATTTTAATGACATGCAAATTTATTTTAACAGTCCAGACCTTGCCCCTCAACTCCAGGCTCATAACCAAATACATAACATCTACATTTGAATTTTTAGTAAGTATCTCAAATTTAATATTTACAAAAACCAAACTGCTGATCTTTCCTCTCAAACCTGCTCCTCCTAAATCTTATCCTACTCTGTTAATGAAAATTTTACCCCTTTTATGCTCAAGTCAAAAATCCTGGGAGTCATCTTTCACTCCTTTCTTTTTTCCAAACCTCACTCCTAATCCATCAGCAAACTCAAGGATCTCCACAGTCAAAATATACCTAGTATCCAACCCCCAGCTCAGTGGTGCTACCAATCTGATTCAAATCTTTGCTATCTCTTGCTTGGATCATTGCCATTCCTCTGCTAGGGGCATTCCATGGCTTCCCATCATATTCATGGCCTCCAGAGTCTTAACCACTGACCTCCTACTATCTCTCTTACTTCATTACCTTACTGTTCTTTCCCCTCCCTTCCTTACTCAGCCATACTGGCCTCACTGGTATTCCTCAACCTCAGGGACTTTGCACTTGCTGTTCTTTCCACCCAAATGAACACATTTTCCCCCATCTTCTATATGGTTTACTCCCTGAACTCCTTCTGGTCTTTTTTCAAATGTCACCTCAGGCCGCATCTTATTTCAAAATGAACTTCCCTCCCACATCCTGTAAGTCCCTGTATCTCCCTTTTCTGCTTAATTTTTGTCCTTAGTACATATCACCACTTAACATATATTTTTCTAACATAGTTTGTTTACTGTTTGTCTTTCACCAGAATGCATGCTCCACGGAGGCAGGGATTTTTTTTTTTTAATTCCACAATAAATATCTGCAGAATGAAACAGCCTATTTTCTCTTTATCACACAGTATGAGAATAAATATGTCTATTTAAGGAAAATAAATATTGGTAATAGATCCTAGATAGCCACATCCTCACAGAGAAACAAAGAGAAGAAAAATGACATTTCTTGAGTACTTACTATGTGCTAGGTAATCTGCTGGTTAGTTACATATTATTTTATTTATTCTTCATATCGATCATGATTCATGAATTCTCTTCACATAGCAAGTAAGAAAACTGAGGTCCACAGAGAGTAAATAATAGATTCAAAAAGAACAAAAATCTGATTCTGGTACATCATGCCAGGAAGCTTTAGTAAACCTCAAGCATTGTATCAGCAAGACCCACTGTTTTTCTCTTTTGAAAGTAATACCCACTTATATGGTGGCCACTTTTAATAATGGCCTCAGAATAGAGACTAGTTTTTTTCACATAAACCTTTCAGGAAATCACAAAAAGGAGGACACAGAAAACTTCAAGATTCTTTAGCAAATCCCAGAAAACCCAGTTTCTCAGCCCTGATTCTCACAAACCAGGGAAACCTGAATTTATGTCACAGGAATGTGATCCAGAATCTCAAGCCTCATTTAGAGATTTGCCAGGCATTCTATTAGTATTTTCAGTATGGGAAATCAAATTGCTATTTTTCTGAAGCTGTTCTTCTAATTTATGGTTATGGCTATGGTCCTGGAATCCATTAAGCTTCAGACAGACTAGTCACAGTGGCAGTAACTTTTAAATATTGGCCCTAAAATCCACATGAGTGTTACTCAACAGCAGAGGAAAAGCTAGCAAAGACTATCATAAAATCAAAAGAAAATAGAACTTCAAATATTAAAATTAAATATACATATGTACATGTAAATATACCTGAAGAATGAATGGCTTTGCTCCTTTTCTGCATCACCTCCATTAATGCACCCACAATTCCTGAAGTGGGTGCAGGTGTTGGTGGTGTAGACTCTTGGCCATCAGATACCTTGGAAAAGAAAGTCAGCAAAACTTAGAAATAAATTTTTAGTAAAAAATTTTTATCTCCAGAAAGTCTTACTTTTTTAGAATCACTTCCTATTTAAAAAAAAAAGGAAAGGGGAAAAAAAAAAAAAAAGAGCACATGTGCCCAGGACAGGGTTAACTAAGAATTTATGGTTGCCTTAAAATTATTCTTATACTCCCTAATGTATAAAGCCATCAACACATTTCCAAATTTAGAATAACAAACCTTTCCCTAAATAATACCCAGGCAGATGGATTACTTCTGTCCATTTTCATTCTAGTACACAATGCCTTAGCTGATAAAACTTTGAAACTATTATCAAGGAACATTATTTTAACAAAATTTAAGTAATATCCAGATTCCTAGAGGTATTAGGTGAAAAGGACACTTAAGATACCTAAGAGCAACTGAAGAGACTTCTGCTCTCCTACAAAAACTCAGCTTTACAAACAAGCTTTATAACTTTACATACTATATATATAATTATACATTATATATAATTTTAACTCAAAATGAACCTTCATTCTTATAGCATATTTCTCTGCAAAGAGATTAGTTAGGTAGCTTTCAAAATGTACCTATCTCACAAGGCAATCAACTATCCCTAACTGAAGTACTTCTATCTAGTATAAACTACATTCAAGGGGGGGAAAAAAAAATCAACCTCAAGGGGTCTCATTAAAATCTAATTTCTATGCAAAATACTCTGATTTCAACTCTCATTAAAAAAGAGAGAATACAGGAAATCTGTAGAGATTCAGGGGAAAAAAAGTTTAGAAAGTACCTCCCTAAGTGTACTTTGGCTAAAATGAGCAGTCATTTATACAAAATACTGATTTTGTTAATTTTGTCTCTGGAATTATATTACCTATGTAAAGGCAGAATATTGGTATAATTAAAAATGAAATCACACAGCTGCTTTATTTCTAAGTCATTTCCCCCCAGAAATTACTTTGTTAGGGCAAACGTCTTCCTTTGGTCTTAGCAATTCTTCTTCTAATACTACCTGTCTTTCGGGACTTACAGATCTTTTTCTTTTAAAAATATTCAAAGTAATTCCCCATAAGATACTGACTCATTCATTGGTATTTAGGTTTTTGGAGACCAGATGTTAACTATTACTGGTATAGAAATACCATAAATGAAAAAGACAACAGAAATAGTTTCAGAGCTTTGAATGTCATCATGAGGTTCTCAAAGAACTGTAGCAGCAATAAGGAGAAAGAGACTCCCTTTAAGCAATCTGGTAAAACGAGGCAGGAAACACCGCAGGAGCACGGCAGCAGCACAAAACTGCCGTAAACACGTTTTCTAAAGCACTGACTTGGACATGCTGCTGTCTGAGGTACTATGAACACGGAATTCAAAATATATGTAAGTGAATACTTATACCCTTACCGCCAGTTCTTTAAAGTAAATCTGTGATCTTATGTTAGTCATTTTCATCACTGAATAAATGATTTATATAGATTGTTTAAAAAAAGAAAACAGAGAAATTTCAGCCACAGAAAGGTTTTCTTCTTTTTTTTCCACAGAAAGGTTTCTTAAAAAGGAAATAAAATTATGGACTCAAATCACACATATAACATGCTAATAATTCACTGACTTATGCACTCTAGGATAGTACTCTGTAGTTAATTTTTTTTAAAGTGATTATTTAGGGTAAGGATGGCCTACTCTTATAATGGAACACATTTTTCTCTCTAAAAGAAATGCAGAGATCAGTTAACAAGGTTTTTTTGGGCAGGGAGAGAGTTGGGATGGATGGGAAGACGTAATGATGGGGAAAATAAATATGGTATTTAATTCAGCAACTTTTTAAATTAAGAAAAGAGGACACAATTTAATTCATTAAAAATAACACCTTATAAGTATCAGCAACTGAGAAAGAATCAAAAGTTGATTGTGGAAGAGAGAGGAAATATGAAAGAGAAACAAAAAGTAAGAGTGGCAGATGTGGGAATGAGTGACACAGAGATGGCACAGATTCTAAGCTACAAGCTTGAAAATGACTCCATTAAAACCTGTTATTCACCTCAGTTGTGGTCATTTTGACACTAATTCTTCCCACTAACAACTGTTTAAAATTCTTTAACTGCTCCTGAGAAACCTTTAGTATAAGCTAAAGGGGGAGAGGGAGCAGAGACGACTGCTCACAGGTTGATCATGTAGCAAGAAAAAGCTCTAGATACATAGTAAAGATGAGAGTTTTTAAAACTGTGCTATGCCAATGTTTAGATGTTTTCATTCAGTTAGCTGTGTTCCCTACCCATCATTCTCTTCCTAGCCAAAGCTTTGGAGATTTAGAAAGTTACCCTAATTCCCTATGTCACAAAATAATTTTCAATTAAAATCCCCTTCTTTCATCTTTATTTACTGCATAGAAAAATCTACCATCCATTACCCATCTGAAGCCCTACAGAGCAAATGTTTCTCTTTGGAACTGACAGACTACATGTGCTATCAGAAGGAAGTATGTAAATGCAAGCAGTTTAGGTTCTAGAAAAGGGGTCAGCAAACTATTGCCCATGGGCCAAATCTAATGTGTCTTATTTATGTAGAACCTTTTAAAGTGAAAAATGAGTTTTACATTTTTAAATGGCTGGAAGAAAATCAAAAGAAAAATATGTGTGACATGTAAGAATTATATGAAAATCAAATTTCAATGTCCCTCAATAAAGCTTTATAGAACACAATCATGCCCTTCAATTATGCATCATCAGTACTGCTGCTTTTGTGGCACAACAGTAGAACTGAGTTTTTGGGACAGAGACCACATAGCCTGTGAGCCTAAAATATTTACTATGTGGTCCTTTAAAAGAAAAAAAAAGTTGCCAACTTCTGCCTCATCCATTAAAGAGATTCCAAAATTATCTATCACCACTATCCAAAATTCTATTAGAACTCTTTCCATTATTGGGCACCTGGGTGGCTCAGTTGGTTAAGCGACTGCCTCCAGCTCAGGTCATGATTCTGGAGTCCTGGGATCAAGTCCCACATTGGGCTTCCAGCTCCATGGGGAGTCTGCTTCTCCCTCTGACCTTCTCCCCTCTCATGCTCTCTCTCACTCTCTCTCTCAAATAAATAAAATCTTTAAAAAAATTAAAAAAAAAAACACCAAAAAAAACTCTTTCCATTTTCTGCAGAGTTAGATTCTCTACTAATGTAAATTTCAGAACACAGGAACTTTAGTATACAGTTTAGTTTTCATAAAGGTAATGGTTTGAACTTACCAAGGTGATTATAAATGGTTATAAGTAGGGTTACTTCTCCATAGTTTGAAGATTTTTCTTTAAATTTAAAGTAAATTTTATTCAGAGGTGAAGTCTAGAATAACAGCCAACATGTTGTAATACTCCACTTACATGAAGTTCTAGAAGAGGCAAAACTAATCTACAGTGACAGAAATCAGATTAGTGATTTTTCTGAGAGGGGGACTAACTGGAAAGAGGCATGAGGGAACTTTCTGGGGTGATATTTCGTTTACAGAAGTATGGGTTACACTGGGATAGGTATAAATGTGTGTGTTTTACAGGATCTAAAAATAACAGAAAAAAAGGGTTAAAAATATGAATACCAAGACAAAGTGCAAAAAGTGAAATAAAGACTTTCCAAGTTGTCTTATAAATTACTTTAAAATTCCATTACGACAGATAGTCTAAACAGAAAAGAACGGCTTACTTACAGATTTCAGCTGAATACCCTGTCGTATCTGGTCTAAAAGTGCATCCCTTCCAGAGCAGGATACGGGTCGACTGTTTTGTTCCACTTTTTTGAGCTGAGCACCCTCTCTAATCTGATCTAAAAGAGCGGCTTTGTTTCCCGCAGGAGTTGGGACTTGATGGTCACCATCAGAAGGGAGGCCAGGGGGAGGCGGCGGCCCGGGTGGAGGTGGAGGTGGCGGTGGCGGGGGTGGCGCCGCGGACCCCGCCAACGACAGAGGTGGAGGTGGTGGCGGAGGCCCTGCCGGTGCCGATGAGGGAAGGGCTGGAGGTGGAGGCGGGTACATCCTATTTGGTGGCGGTGGAGGGACTCCTACACCTGGCCTGGACGGAGGCGGTGGTGGAGGTGCAGCTGTGGGAGCTCTTGACGGTGGCGGAGGAGGAGCGCCTCTCCCCCTGGCAGGAGGGGGAGGAGGGCCTGAGCTATGCGGAGGTGGGGGGGGAGGAGGCGGCCCTCCCCTGGATGGTGGTGGAGGAGGTGGTGCTGAAATACAAACAGAAGAAAGACAGCATGCTTTTCCCCCACAAACATCATACTGAAAACAAACTTACTTCCACAGACATTAAAAAGAATGACACGAGAAAAAAAAAGGCCTCATCTCTGTTATCTTATTTTACAAAGGTATGCGAGCACAGACGATATCTTATCGTTCTATTTGGGAACACTCAAGATCACCTTCTTGCTGTTACTTGAAAAATATTAGCTAAAGCTGTTGAATTTAGTTTTTAGGAATCAGCATCACTTTGGGAATACACACTTTCTTATATAATAACAAAAATATCACAACAGAATTTGGTCAATTAGCATTATTTAACATTTTAATAAAAATTAATGGATACCTTCCTTCTTTAAAGAATTGAGTTTATTTACTTTATAAAATTAATTTACATTCAGAATTATATAGCTGGCGTAGCATAACCTATCCCCGTTTACTCAAGTTAATCTGAGCTAAACCCAAATTGAATACTTTTAAAATTTAAACCTTGCCACCTTACATTTATATTTTATAATGTCTTTACTTCCTAAAGAATATAGAATATATTAAAACATGTATGCTATAATATATAATAATATATGTAATAGTCCATATTTCTCTAAGATGGTCAATAATTCTAGTGACGGCAGTAAGGAAGGCTTGCTCAGGTGAAATATTCAACTACTTATTCAGAAGACACAACTAACTATTAATAAATTAACTGAGAATTTCTTGGGGAACCTGGGCGGCTCAGTTAAATTAACTGAGAATTTCTATTCTGAAAAACTGAACAAAAGTTATTAATAAAATATTAAAACTATTTTGGTATTAATGATATTCATATTCTTTTTCTACTTAAGTAAAAGTGTAAGATATAACGAAGAAACAAATTCAAAATACACATTTATTACATTTCTGAAGGCATGATTTTACCAACAGTATAAACAAATTTACATAATAATGAACTTCATCACTTCTCCATTCATTTAGAGACTGGAGAGAAAAATTCACTATTTTTAGAAGTAGAGAAATCCTAGAATTCATAAAAAACTATTTGTATTTACTGATATAAACTATCTTATTGATGGATAGTTCTATAATCTTATGAAATACTAATGCCAACCCTAACTACAAATAACAACAAGCACCTTTCGATGTTCAACAATACAATGATACCGGGGATGGGGGGGAACCCTCATCTCAAAGGAGATAAAATGGAATCTTCCAATTTGGGAGGATCATGGGAAATAGGCTACCATATATAAATATTAAATAAAATATGCAGAAAGACCAATACTCATAGGGTATTGTCTCCTTGCATTCAAACTTTTATTTTTTATTTTTTTTATTTATTTTTTAAATTAAGATTTTATTTATTTATTTGACAGACAGAGATGACAAGCAGGCAGAGAAGCAGGCAGGGGGCGGGGCGGGGGGGGGGGTAGAAGCAGACTCCCTGCTGAGCAGAGAACCAGATGCGGGGCTTGATCCCAGGACCCTGGGATCGTGACCTGAGCCGAAGGCAGAGGCTTTAACCCACTGAGCCACCTAGGCACCCGCATTCAAACTTTTAAAGGTGAAAATATATCTGCAAATGGTAGAGTTACCCCACTTATATGTCAGCTATCACAGAGAATAGAGACAATAAGTACATCAAATCCTTCCAGCAATTTTAATCACTCTGAGGTTTATATTTCAAAGAGTTATGATTTACTTGTTTGTTAATCAAGAGGAAAATATCCACCTCATTCTACTATAAAAAGTACTAGTAAATCATTTCTCATGGTCTCACTGAGCACTCTGAATCCACAATTTTTTATATGTAAAATGATGCACTTCTTCAGTAGAGAGAATAAAAGTTCTTTCAAACTTGTAGGTAAGTACCTTTATTGGAGTAATTTGTACTCTAGCTATTATTCATTGGAACAGTTAAATCATTGCCAAGGGGAAAGGGAAGCCTTAATTGATTGTGAGTAAATTATTAACTGCATCCAGTTTGGGTACAGCAGAAGTTCAGCATTTCTATGATCTTGAAAAGTGACTGGAAATGTCTCTATATTTTTATGAGGAAAATCTCTATTACCAACTTTCTATTTTTTTATAGTCCATATTATTTCTACATAAAAGTAAGTATGTAAAAAACATGCCATATCCCAACGTTAAAATGTGAAAGAATTAAAAAAAAAAGAGGAAAGGGCACAATGGGAGTTAGAATGTTTCCATGCACAAATATGCCTGTTAAACAGATACCACACACATCAAGAGAAAATCTGATGGTCTAGAGACTTGCAAAACTCAAATACCAGAATCAGAATGACAATAATTCTTAGAGTTCTAAAAAAGAAATAGTCAAAGTTATGACAAAAGTCCCCACAAATAAAACTTCTTACTATCAAAGTTTAGTTAAAAAGGAAGAAAAACTGGCATTTACAGAAACTTGTCTTGAGGTTATACTACAAAAAAAGCTCATATACTTAAGAATTATTATTATTGCAGATCAACATTAAGAGTAATAGATAACTAATCTCTAGGTACTTGACATTTATAGGTATTATAAGCAAAAAATATAAAGCAATAGAAATATAACTACATTAAAGAACTGCTCTCATGTACTCTCATCAAAATAAAGCAACAGAAAAATACTATTCAAGACAAATTTAAATTTATGGGAATAATGACAACTCCCAGAGTAGGCATGTATAGAGCTGTATATTTATATTAAATTATATTAAATTTATGGGAATACTGACAACTCCCAGAGTAGGCATTTATAGAGATGTGTGTGTATTTATATTAAGTACCCCCTCCCTGACCCAATTTATATATATATATATATATATATATATATATATATATATAAAATATATAATATTGTATATTTTATGTAGGTTACTGAAATAACACCAAGTGTGAAAAGCAATCATTAGGAATAAGTATAATAAGCAACAATAAAAACAGTGGTGCTATGGGTAAGAGGTGTTTTTAAAATATCCACAGAATTTCATTACAATCATCTAAAGTATAGATGAAATATGAGCTCAGACTCATACAGAAATAAATTAGTTTGAGTAGAGGGCAAATAATCTTACTAATGTTAGATTTGGAAGCAGGATAAATGAACTCCAGCTTCTTTGACAATAAACATATGAAAGCATGCATAATTTAAAGCACTGGGTCAAATGACATCCCACATACATACCACTCCATTGTGGTGGACCTACACAGATTATTGAGTTAATGGCCTTCGAACAATTGCATAGACACACAAAAAATATGCTGAAAATCACAAGTCTACTACTTTTAAAAACCTGATTATATAATTTTGAAAAACAAATTTCAAGAGATTAGATTCAGTAGATTTTATATATATATATATATATATATATATATATATTTTTTTTTTTAAACAAAATATATTTTAAGACAACTTCATAAGCTGCTCTAATTTTTTTATACTTTTGAACACATATATGTTCTCCCTGGAAAACATTTCCTTAGTAAGTCATTAGTCTTTTTATTCTTCCTTTGAACAAATTTACCTTCTATAAAATCATTCTTTGGTGTCTAAAAGATTCCACACTGGGAGTTAGGTTCTTGAGTATGACAAGAATTTAAACTTGTTCCCAAAGCATGTTTTTTAATGCCTGTATATTGTTTTGTTTTAGGTAATTCAACTGAGCAAAGACTTTGCCTAATTTGATGCTTTAAAAGCAGCTAGAATAAAGAGCAATCACAACAAATTTTAAAAACCAAACCCAATCAAATTAATATAGTCAGCTCTTCGTCAAAGGAATTCAGGTGTGAAGGCAGATGCATGGATGGCCTAGTAAATGTCAAGAGTGATTCATAAACTTATAAATTCAGAGAGCTCAGAGAGATGGCAGGCGACATCCGATAGAGTAAAGCCAAAGTGTGTGGTAACAGTGGACAAAAAGAGAGTCAAGGAACATAATACTAGTAAATGTGAATTACTCTGGGAGCATTTAAAAACAAAAACGGTGCTATGCCCAAGATGTTTTTATCAAAAATATATAGAATCTGGAAATACAATTTTTTCAAAAAATAAATTAGCATACTAGTTTCATTAAAACTAACACTATGTTTCTACAATAGCAATTATTGACTGTATACTTGTTAAGTATCTGTTTCCACACTAGACTGTAAGATTTCCGAGGACAGAAACTGCTTATTTACATCTAAATATTCTGAGTTGAAATGAGTGCTGACATAATAATGTTTACGAATATATGAATGAATGAAAGACTGAATGAATATAAGTAGTGAAAAAGATACAGATAAGTCAAATATCAAATTTAAAATGACAGTTAAATTCCTCAGAAGAATGCTTTAACTGGAGTACACAAAAACTAGGAAGAAGCAAGCCCAAATGAGTAAGGTGGCAAAGAAGACTTTTTAATAAGAAAAACCTTATCAAATTATTAAGTTATATCAAAATAATGCAAAGCAGCCAGGCCAAGCTACTTAATCTATAATTTCAAATATTCTGTTTATGGAAAGTTCATACGAATGTGTGTAGTTGTTTCCAGGAAACTGACCTCAAAAGATTCACAAGGAAAAAAAGATTAGAATGCCTGAGTAGAAAAAAAAAGTTACCTTGCCTTCGTAGTTCATTTTTAACAGCTTCTACACCTCCTGTTTTTTCAATGAAGTCATATATAACTTTTGATGTTTCTCGGTCTTTCAGTTGTGCCTCTGAGATTCCACACATATCAAAAAGATTCTTCAATTCTGGATCCAAATTATTCAGCTATAACATATAAAGTAACTGTTAACTGTAAAATCTATCCCAATTTTTAAAAATAAGCATAATCAAATTCAAATTTAGTTTTCACCTGTGCCCATTATGAAATTATTTTAAATTTATACACTTTTTAACATGGTTAGATTATTTATAAGCCAATGAAACTTTCTTATTTAAAAGAAATAGAAAAGTTAAGAAAAAAGAATAAAATTTTCTTTTTTTTTTTTTTTTGTTCTCTCTTCAAAAAGAAGGCATCTCATTAGAGCTTTACTAACCCATTCATGATTCAGACATCTCCAACCTATTCGCCTATTACTAAATTTAGATATAATCACAAAGAAACGAGGAAACTCTGTCAATTTGAAAATCTGAAGCACCTCCTTATAACCTCAGCATCCTGGACAGAGCCCAGAACAAGGAAGCATTCAATAAATGTTGTGGAGTTAACACTGTAGTCAATAACAAAAAAATTTCTGACCCCAATCATAAATATTTCTCTTCAAAATAATTTTTCCAAACCCTGATTATCTGTTAAATGTGAAATACATATTACTTAAGCAACCAAAACAGATAAAATGTTAAAAACACTTATTCTTGCTAGCAGTTTCACTTACTTGCTCATAGGGCTAAAAATAAATAATGACAAAAATGCCTAAAAGAATGAAAAGATCTAGCTAATTTAAAAACTGGATATTCAGAATTTGATTATAATACTTTTCAGTACTCTTACTTTCCAGTAATTTGGCATACATTCCCCTAAAATATCAGTTAGCAGAAATAATTTTCTTCTCTTGGCTGTCAACACACAAGAATTTTATATTATAGTATATAAGATTTTATTTATATATTTATTTATTTGAGAGAGACAGAGAGAGAGTGTGTGCGCTAGCAGGGGAGGAACAGAGGGAGAGGGAGAGAGAGAATCTCAAGCAGACTCGAGCATAGCTCTGACGCAGGGTTCAATCTCACAACCCTGAGATCATGACCTGAGTCGAAATCAAGAGTCAGACTGAACCACCCAGGCACCCCAGTATTACAGTATATCAATTCAAGGAGTATAAAACCTTTGCCTTATAGACATAGCCATAAATAACAGAACAATACTGAGGTTTCCAACCTCAGTGGTGTATGTACATAAACACATTCAAATAAATGCTAGAATTCACTAAAATGAATAATAAAAATCTACACACAGGCCACAGCATTACCACATATTTATTTATTTTATTTTTAAAGATTTTATTTATTTATTTGATAGAGAGAGAGAGAGAGAACACAAGCAAGGGAGTGTGAGAGGGAGAAGCAGGGTTCCCGCTGGGCAGGGAGCCTGATGTGGGGCTCGATCCCAGGACCCCGCGATCATGCCCTAAGCTGAAAGCAGACACTTAACCGGCTGAGCCACCCAGGTGCCCTGCATTACCACATATTTACAGCAATAATATTTATGGCTTGAAAAGACACTTACATCAAAGCCAGTATTCGGATCCCAACCAACATGTCCAATGTGCCTAAAGAAGTAGACCAAAAATATGTATAAATAAAAAACAGAAAATACATAAACAGCATTTAAAACATAAAATACATGAAATCCAATCCAACCAATAAATTTTGGGCCTGCGCTAATAATTCTCACAGACATACCCATATTCAGGGAAAAACTGTGTGAGGGGTCAGGAGGCCAGGACTGGCCTCAGTTAAACTGAGTTTTAATAATTTTGCATAATCTTTCTGAGTATCCATTTCCTCAATGGTCAAACTAGCAGAAGAATACAAGCATTATATATATATATGAATAGGAATTTTGTAATGAGCTAATGAAATGATGTCTATGTATATGAAAATGCTTAAAATATGTCAAATAAATACCAAAGGTTTGATGCCTACTATAGACTAAATGTTTGTGTCCCCCCAAAATTCCTATGTTGAGACCTAATACCCAGTATGATGATAATATCTGGAGGTAAGGATTTGGGGAGGTGATTAGGTTTTGAGGGTGGATCCCTCAAAAACAGGATTAGTACCCTTAACAAAAAGGCCCCAGAGAGTTCTCTTGCCCTCTTCCAACATGTGAGGAAGACAGCTAGAAGACAGCTGTTAACCAGGCAGTGGAACCTCACCAGACACCAAATTTTGCCTGCTTCTTCCCAATCTCCAGAACTGTAGAAATAAATCTCTGTTGTTTAAAAGCCATTCAGTCTATAGTATTCCTGTTATAGTAGCCCAAATGGGATAAGACAGTGCCTCTAGGCAATTTCCAAATACCATTTATAAGGGAAAGTGAGAAATCATCTCCAACAATTAAAGAAACAACTTAATTTAGTTTTTCTTTCCTGATGAATAGAAAGGTAAATAAACTGTAGGATTCACAGAAAGTCTACTGAACAACAGCCTTAAACACACACACACACACACAAAAACAATTCCAACAAAATCTATAGAGAAAAAAGTATGCAAATGATAAATGTAGAAGAAAACAAAATTTCCTAACAAGGTAAAAATCAAGAGCAGGAGTAAGTTAATTGAAAGATAAGAAAAACAAAAGAACTCTTACTGGAAATTGCTTGGTGTTCCGATATCTGCCTTGGTTAATCTCTTCTTTTTAGCTTTTCCTTTTTTCTTTTCTTTGGTATGGGAGATGTTGTTGACCTGTGGACCATAAAATCTATTGGTTGTGATTTCTGGATTTTTTATATCAACTGTTGCCATGGGTAGATTAGGACCTGCAAAACAATATGAAAGGGATATAATTTAAGATAACAATTATTGCATTCATAATTTGTAATTTAAATATCTTTCTCTGAAGTAGGACCGCTTCACTAATATAAATTATTTAAATTTTAAAGTTGCATGTTAATTTTTTATAAATAATGGATAAAGTACTACCGAAATTTCAAAAGCATATAATAAATTCTTAAGTAGATAAGCATAGATGTTACTTCAAAGAGAATTTGTATTTTTATAACATTAAATCTCATGAAAAAAAATTTTCAGTAAAAATTTAAATTTAATTGGTTTAATCCCTTAAATTTTTATTATAATAGCCTCACATACACAACCCATTACTTGTTGGTAAAGTGCTATATATGGCATAATAAGAATAAAAATTAAAAGGAGCATATACTTTTTAAAAAAAAATCTGACAAAAAAATCTAGTATTACTTCTTTGTTTCAACTTTATTAGTCCATGAGGGAAAAAAAGTACTTATACAATTATTACTATTATTATTTCCAAAATACCGTATGTAAGTCCAATAATGTTTTCTCTATCGGTATACATACACTTTGACTATTGGAAGTATAGGGCTCAAAAATGAGATGGAAAAATTCTCAAAACATTCATCTTCCACAATAATCAATAGTGAAACTATCTCTGGCATCTTCAGATACTATCAACAGCACCTTTAAGAGTGACCTTAAATATAATATACAAAACCTGTTTTATAATTCACAAACATATTCTTGGCTTTAAAAGCACGAGTCTAAATGAAATGTATTCAATTTAAAAATGCCTTATAAATTTAACTAAATGGCATCACATGTTCCTTAGAGAGTCCATTTTAATATAGGGTTCTCTGACAAAACCACTTATTAGACTAAATTCCTATGAGATAAGTACATTAATGACAACTTTCAAATGCTGTATAAAATGGAACCACTACTGCGCAGAGAAACAGTTAACATAGCAGGCCCAAGACTGCCATCCTTAGAAAGGGCTGCTTGTAAGGTTATTAGCTCTGAGCTGGCATCTGGAAACGGGGATTCCAAGAGGGTTTTTATCATTCCCTGATAAGATGGGCCCATTGTGCCTCAACTATTTGTGCTAACAATGTGCTGATGCTAAACACCTGCTTTCCTTCTAGGAGTCTAGTACCTTGGTATGTGCTAGACATAGGAGGCCTATGTGAGTAGCCCCCAATAAACTCTGGGCACCGAGTGCCTAGTGAGTTTCTCCTTTAGACAACATTTACCATGTGTTGTAACAACTTATCAAAGGAATTATGTGCATTCCCTTTGACTCCAATGGGAGAAGACTATGGCAAAGTTGTATGTAATTTCCCTCAGACCTAACCCCTTGTGCCTCTCCCTTTGATTTTGTTTTATATCATTCCACTGTCATAAATCTTTGCCATGAATACCCCAATACAATGGAATACAGAAATCCCAAGAAATTACAGGCTAACGTAAACTGGTGATAACTAAATGTCAATTTGACTGTATTTCTTCAATTGCACTAAAACCTCAAATGTAGCCTATTCATTAAAGTTACCTGAAAGAACAACGTTTATCTAAATGGATAAATTATATATAACCCATGTTCTCTCTTTCAACTCTACTATTCAAGATGAAATAGAGCTAAAATAATTTACAAAAGCCATCTAACACCTTATCAGACGAGTAAACAATTTGGAAAGATTTGTATTTTTAGTATCACCAAAATTCAGCTCTTTTCCCTTCATAATCAAAGTCTACTTACATGTAAGCATCTAAAAGTTCTATTTGTATTTCATATAAAATTTTTTCATATAAATTTCTAAAGGAAGTTGCTCACATTGGCAAGAAATAAATTGTTATCTGAAAAAAATGGAACCCAGTGAATAATATGGGTAAGACCATTAAAACAAGCTGATTCAGTGTCAAGGAATAATAAAAATAAACGGATTAAAAATTAAAGGTTAGTTATGCAATACAGAAGGCTGAAGAAATAGTAGATAAAGACTAGGATTTTCAAATTTGTTCACATACCAGATTTCAGTGTTTACTGTAGTTTCACAAAGTAAAGGACTTATTGAGAATACCCGGAATCCAAGTGTTAGAGGGTCAAATCTGTGTTATACTCAAAGGCTTATCTACTGATCTGTTTCTCCTTCTCATCCTTCCTTTTCTGCCTTCCCTCTTTTATTTATAACTTTAAAAATCAATATCAGCTACACCATCCATGGTAAGATGCCACAAATCACTACTTACTCTTTTCCTTACATTTAATAGAATTTAAGGATTAACTTAAGACTGATTTAGGAGTATCAGAATGAGACACTCTCCTTGTACCTTACCACCCCTCCTGAAATAGATGTTCAAAGAGCAACTATAAAGGAGCAACCAGATTCACCATAAAAAAAAAAAAAAAAAACAAACCAAACTATTAGTTTTTAGAAAAAAACAAAAATGAAAATATTCTGCTGCTTTAGGTTATATGAAAGTTATTATTATACCATGGATATTTTAAATGGTAATAGAGTTGGGTAAAGTGAAGAAGCGTAATAGTTTTAATTATCCAAGTTAACAAATTCTTTCCTGGGAAATTTAATAAAGTTAAGATTCTTATAAGTCTGATCCATACCTCACTAAAGAAAATAATTCAGCCACCTCTGAAGAAAGTTTAAGAATAAAGAAGATAGGAACAAAATACAAGGGGTATGTGGAATGAATAACAAAGTTTAATTCATACTGTAGTCAGACTGGGTTTCCCCTCCTCCCTCTACCCCAAGAGGAAGTGTGGATATACTGTTACTGTCAAGCAGTTTATAAAGCCTTTGAATTAGCTATTTAGTGTCATTACACATGAATTTCTTCAGTACTGGTTAAAACATTATTTAATTAAGTCTATACAGGAAAATTCAAATTATAGAGATAAACAGAAAATTAGTATTAGCTGCGTTAGCTGGGAAATTAGAGAGTTTTTCCACACTTTTCATCTTACAGTTGAAAACTAAGGATGAGAAGTGACAGGTGACCTGTCTAAAGTCACACAATTAGGGACAAAAAGCAAAGGTGAACTCTGCTTTCTTGATTCCTAATCCATTAACTACTACTGTACTTTTTACACTAATGTCAAACCACAAGGTGACTGATAATGCTAACTTTACCAATGTTGTCATATATTATTTCCTTACCAATTAGTTCTCTCAATTTATATAGTTTAACAGTTTATCATTCAATAAATATTTACTAGTAACTTTCAAATTTTAGGGAAAAAAATTCCTACATAATCATGAGATTAGGTACTTGGTTACCTCTGTTGATAATAGTCATTTACTTTAGAGTTTGAAGGTGTTTGGAAATTAGTTTAAAACGATGTTGTAAAGCCCAATTAAATATTTGTTTCCAAAAGTGACAACTGGTATAAGGCACAGTCATTTTTAAATGAAGTTTATGGAAGATCTGGTAATGGAGATACACTTAAATCACTTCTAGTAAAAATTAAGTATTCCATTTATAAAATTATACTCATCCTAAGAACATACACTAAGGGGATTTTTTCCCTTCTTTAAAAAAAAAAACAAAAACTAGTCAAATGACAAATTACCATTTTCTGATTAAAGACAACTGTTACAGAAAAGGCTTTTTAATATTCTCACTGAACAGCATTTCTAGTTAATTTTAAAACTGAAAGAACAAACTAAAGTCTTCCCCTTAATTACATAAAAAGCAGAGAACTCTCACCAAGGTAAAATAGTTGAGAAACAGGTGGCCCAGAGGCCTCTGATGTCAAGCAGTCATGAAGCTGAGAACAAATCATTGGAAAGCGTCTAAGCTAAAAGGTGAGACTGACCGATAAAGAAAAAAGAAAGATGTATGGATTAGGAGTTAGTGAGGAAGACACTGAATTGCATTTCAGGAATATATGCTACTCCTACATAAAGTGTCTTTTCAATAGTTACAATTTGAAAATGTCTACTAAACTGATCATCCATATGGGGATTTAAGACAAAGCACCTGCAGGGACACAGCAAGGTGGATAAGGTGTCCAGTGCACCTGGTAGTAGTGTACCAAATGCAAAAAAGTAATATGCTGCCTTCAAAACAGTGGTCTCCACATAGTGGGGAGTGACTGCACTGCAGGAAAAAAATATTAAATCTTCTTTTTAATAATTATTTTATCCTTTACTGTGTATGCACTATGTTAATACCATATTATTTGTATATTTTATAAGAAAATATACAAATTCTGGCAATACATGCCATATATTTTTGCCTTTTCGTGATACTTTTTAAACTCTCATTTAATGAAAAGACATTTGGGATCACTGCACCAAAAGGGTTAAAACTACAGAACTAAATATTTAAAACCAAGAGCTATCACAGAGAAAGAAAGTCTTATTATGAGTACCTCTCCTACCAGGAGTAATAAAATTGCAAGACACCACTGTCACATAAAGAATATCCAAATTCATGGGGTGCCTGCGTGGCTCAGTCAATTAAGTGTTAGACTCTTGGTCTGGGCTCAGGTCATAATCTCAGTACAGAATCTACTTGTCCCTCTTCCTCCCCCTCTGCTCTCTGCTCCTCCTCCCACTCAGAGCTCTCTCTTAAATAAAAACATAAACAAATAAATAAAATCTTAAAAAACAAACAAAAAAAGAATATCCAAATTCCTTGTATTCATGGATTAGGTACCTCTTCAGAAATACATTTTATATGTACTGAGAAGATTAAAATTTTGAAAACTCCATAAAATATTTATACCGTTAACTTTATTATCGCTTCTCGACCTTTTGGCTAAGATCAAGTGTAGTATCTGTTTTTATCAGGTTAATATACTGTTAACTTTAATTGCAACATCTATACTTTAATATCTCAGGTTACTTTTCCCAAAGATGCCACTTCCAGGAAGCCTTCCCCACTGGTACTCAATACATGCTTACAGAATGCAGAATAATAAATTCAAAAGGATTAAAATATTGAGCATGCAACAGGGAGAAAATTCTAACACTGCTGTAAGAGTTCACAGATGAATGACTTCTGAGTCAGCTGCTTCTGCTTCCTTTGCCTCTACCACGTTAACAGTGGCGTTACTTAAGGCATGTTATTTACCCTGTCTAGGTCTCAGTTTCTCCTTCAAAATCTTATGGATGTAGCATAGTGATAAAGGGGCCAGGCTGTGGAGTTAAGACTGCTTGAGACTGAATCCTTCTGTACCACTTACTAGATTTGTGACCCTGAGCAAGATACTCATCTGTGTCCCTGTTTGCTCTTCTATAAAATGGGGATAATAGCAGCCACTTCATAAGACTCCTGGACAGTGCCTGGCTGGTAGTAAATGATCATTAAATAGTAGCTGCTGTAATTATTGTTGTTATTGTCTTCATCATGATAGCTAGGTTTTAGTAAGTGCTATGCTAAGTACTTTGATTACTTCATTTAATCTCCACAGCAGTCCTATAAAATAAGTATTAAAATTTCTACTTAAAAGACAAAGCCAAAGTATACATTACTTGGCAGAGGGTAAGCCTTACTGAACGTAGGTTTTTTTTTTTTTTTAATTATAATAAGGTAAATAATCCAAAATTTACTACAGCAGTATTTGGTTCATGTTTTTGTATCAGGAAAAAAACTTAAGGACAAATCAGAAAGCAATGTATCTGTTTAAAAGAAACAAACCCTAACAATCCCCAACAGCTATCATATATTATTTGTTTCCCAGAATAAGCTATCTAAATTCTGATGAGAGGATGTGAGATGCTTTAAAAAAAAAAAAAAAGCCATACCCTCCATTATAATGAAGGTTCCTGGAGCAATAGTTCCATACCTCCACAGGGTCAGCGACCCAATTTAAATGTGATGCAATTTCTGTATCCTCTGTCCCCAAAGAAAATATATACACTTAAGAATTTAGTGCACTATATTTCAAGGAGTGTTTACAGAGTCCAAGATGCGAATCTCTGCCCTAAAGATCTGGGACTTTGTCCTTTTCATTTTGGAATTCCATTTTATTTTGGAATATATACTTTTCTGGTATACTTTTTTTTTCTTTTAAAGAATTCTTAATACTTCAAGTGCTCATCATGAAATTAAGGAGGATAATATAAAGCGATTATTAGTTCTATGCACTCCATTAAAGTCAGTGCTCATTCTCACAGGGGCTAGTTTCGTATTACCAGTGTGAAATAGTATTTGGAAATAAGAAACATAAATCTTAAAGAAAGAAATGAACAAGTATGCTATACAAAATTTACTACCTTTAAGGAAGATATTAAGTCAAGATCATACAGTTTATAAACTTAATTGTCAATACAGAATGAAGATATAAGTAATAGTGATCTTCACCCTACATAGTCCTCCTTCATCCTATAAAAAAGCCAAAAAATAGTACATTTCTAAGACTCATCTTTGTTATTTTAAAATGACACTATAAACTACAGTATTTGATCACAGATATTAAATATTTAAGTATTAATGTATGATACATGTTTCTAAAGGATAAAACAACCTAAAATCTTTTAGATCAATAATTTGTATCAAAGAGCTTACCATTTGGGGGGTCTCGTCTTTTCTCTGTTAGAAAATAAATCAAAATAATATGATCAGACATATGCAATACAAAAATCAACATAAAGAATTAATCTACCCAAACTCTGTCTTATTCTTAAGTCAATGTATAAGTGGCTAAAAAAGGTTTCTCTGAGGAACTGACATCTGAATAAAATAAGGAACAACATATTTAAAGGCCCTAAGGAGGGAATAGCCTGAAGGAACATCATGAAGCTTGGACTAGAGTGAGCCAACAGAAGAGTAAAAGGAGGCAGTCAGGAGGAGACCCAGGGACTGGATCATATAGGGTCCCACAGGCCATGGTAAGGAATACAGATTGTATTCTATATACGATAGGAAGCTCTTTTAGGGTTTAATAGGGCCAACATAATCTAATGTTTTTAAAAGATAACTTAGGCTACTATGTGGAAAAGAGGTCATAGGGGGCACTGAGTGGCAGCAGGGAGACTAGTGAGGGAGTTATGGTAGTCCAGATGACAGATAATGGGGGCTTCGATTAGAGGGGTAGCAGAGGTGATGAGAAATAGATCCAGGATATGTTTCTGAAGAGACAACAGACTCACTGATGGAATTTATAAGAGACCATGGTGAGCCAGAGTGGAGCCTTTTACCAAGTTGGGGAATACATGGGGAAGAGTAGGAATGGGTCTAACTGAGGTTAGGGAACATAGATCAGATGTTCTGCTCAGACAAGTTAAGTTTAAGGTTATCCTGATGCTCAGTTGAAGTAAACAAGTTTGAAGGTTGGGGGAAAGGTCAACAATGAGGACAAAACTTTGGGAGGCATCAGTGTATGGAGAGTTTTCAAAGCTATGGGACACAGTGAAAGCACAAGAGTAATGAGAATACTCAGAAACATCTGATCACTAAAGCAGACCAAAAATAAAAAGCTATAGCAGATCAGAAAGGAGTAAAACCAGGAGAACTATCAATCCTTTGTACTCAGACTCTTATATACGAAGTTTGATATCATTTTGGCTTTAAGAAATTCAAAAGTGGTTGAATAATTTTAAACAAATGTAATTTCCAGATTTTCTAATACAAAATTGCCCCAAATTATAAGAGAAATACCCATAAATAACGATATAATAATCAGTTTATAAACAGCCATAAACTAAAATTAATAGGATTTAACTGGGGAATAAGTTAAAAAATCCTGGCAATAGGAAATACCAATTTATTACTCCATCTGGTGGTCTGATGAAGTAACTTTCTGAAACACTGGACATAAGGAAGTCCCATCTATGTCAATGAATGTCAATCTCCCATTTCCCAGGTGATGTTATCTCTGCAACCAGAGAGGAAATACTTTAACTGATAACACAGATATGGAAATACACTGACATAAATATAAAGTTCAGAGGATAAGTTCTAAGAAGTAATTTACAAATAAGATGCTAACCTGGCTTGAGAGCCATTCACATGAAAAAAAGGGAGGGTTTGGTTGAACAAAGAAGAATGGGAGCTGCTGGTATGAGGTATCTGCTAAAAACATTTGCAGAACAGTGCTTTAATCATATCAAGAGGTATTTTAGTACCAACTAGTAAAACTACTTGTGGAGTACTGTGTTCAAATATGACTACTATTTGAAGCTGGATCATTTCTTCAAATCTGGACCTTCTGAAGAAGACATAAAAATATACAGTGGCTTCAGAGTACAGTATTTGGGATGATGCATCTATAAAGTACATCACGAGAGGAGTAAGAAACTGAAACCAGTTAAGGTAAAGAAGTAAAGGCATGAGAACATGATAGATGGCTTCCAATATTAAATGGCTGCTGGGAGGAAAAGAAAATAGACTAATTTTTTATTGCTCCAAAAGTCGGATTCCATGCATCTAAGTTAAAGAGAAGAGAGGCTGGAGTTTGACTTAGCAGAAGTAGAATAGATCCCTACCCAGGTATCTATCAGCTGCCTCCCTAAGATGACCTTTCTGCTTCTGAAACACCATGCTTAAAAGTTTAGGAACTACATAAAACAAAATTCCTATACCAGCTGAAAGATGCCTTTAGGGACCTTCCTATTTCAAAGTCAATTAGTCTATACTTTAAGAAATATTTTTTACTTGTTTGATTTGGAAATGTCACATATATTGACTATAAGGAGCCCCAGAGAGCCCCTGGCCTAGCACCTGATTATGTCACAGAAAACTGATGTCTCTGAAACTGATCTTCTTAAGATGATGGTTTTAGAGAGGTTCACCTTTCCTAATCACCCTTCTCCCACTTGACAACAGAAAGGCCTAGTATACTGTTGTCAAGTATTTCTATATCAATAAATTTAAAATTCTATACTAGACTAGAGCATTCTCTATTTTATATGTATTATAGTCTCATACATTAAGTTCCTTGTGGATTTATGATAGACAACATTAGGGACAAAATAGAGACAAAACAATGTTTACAGATTTTGTTTGCAACTTTGCTTATTTGCTTCTAGGCTTGCCTAAAAAGTCTTTGTCACAAAGTATTAAATATGCTAAGAATGTAAGTTAAGAACAAAGCCATAAAAATGAAAGTTTAAGAGTCAGTATATATGGCATGTTATCAAGACAGGTTATCAGAATGAATTCTTCAGTAAATCTGAAAAAAAAAATAGTTCTTAATAAAAATAGTTCTTAAGTAAGTACTAGTGAATTTTTTTTTTTTTTTTTTTTTTTTTTTGGTAAGGGGCCAGAGAATAAATATTTTAGGCTTTGTGTACCATACAGTCTTTGTTGTAACTACCCAACTGTTGTGTGGCAACAGACAAAATGTAAACCAATGAGCGTAGGTTTGTCTCACTAAAACTTTATTTATAAAAACAGGTGTGGGCCCGTTCTGTCCCATGAGCCAGCTCCTGTTTAAAAAAAAGAAAAAAGTTTACCAGATTTCCTTTGTCGCCGGCCCAACAAGTCTGTAACTGCTTTCCGGAATTTTTTTGCTTCTTCTTCATTGGCAAAATTAAGAGCAACTTGACAAGTCTGAAATATTTTTATTTAAAAAGGTAAACAACAGAAAACATGAATCTAGCTTTAATGAAAAAATCGATAACCAACAAAGTACATTTCTGAAGAAGGAAAGCTGAGTTTACCAGCAACAAGGGCTTAGTTTAAGCTTAGTTTTAATTTTATCTGAATAACTTAAGAATACTGAAAGCATGGAGAAGGCAAAGTAAAAGACTACTAATAGATAAGTTGCCTCTCATAACGGACATTCAAATATTAAATGGAATACTCCATCTTCAACAACGACAACAAAAATAGCAAATTGAATTTGATTTTTCAATAGAACTACAAAATAATAGAAATAGAAAAGGCAAATACTGGAAAAGTTGGTCAAATGCAGGTCAGCTCTATCTTTACTAGGTTATGTTTTTATTTTACAGCTCAACTGTAGGTATTATTTATATGATAACCTTAATTCAGATAAAGTGTTGAAAATACGAAAAGACTGACATTGATAATGGCATTTTATGCACACTTTTATGTATGTACATATATTTATATTTTATTAAGAAAAATGTGAAAAATAACAGCTAGAGAAGAAAATTTTTTTGAAATGATATATCATCTAATCTAACCTTTTTTCCTCATTATATAAAAATTTAGGAAATAAAAATATGAAAAAAAAAATTAAAATCACCTATAACCTAGTCACTCAGACAATCCTTGTCAGCATATGGTATGGAAATCCTTCTAACATCTTCCTCAAGTATATGCAATAAATTTTTTTATATTCTATTCTCCCCCTACACGCATTTAATGTATTTTAGCACTCTTCTAGGCCACGAACTATTCTTTCACAAAATAATTTGAATGGCAATATAACATCAATATTTAAAACATACCATGGATTAGTGGGCAATTAAGACTTCATTTTTATACATAAGAACACTAAATCCCAGAAAGATAAAGCTCTCTGTCCAAAGACAAAGATGACGAAAAAACAAATTTCTTTTCTACACAGCAAAAAACTTTTTTTTTTTTTTTGGCCCTTTAAAATCTAAGCCCTTTCTTCCTATTCAGCTATACTGTGAAAAAGCTTTTTTTTTTTTAAAGATTTTATTTATTTATTTGACGAAGAGAGACAGCGAGAGAGAACACAAAGCAGAGGGAGTGAGAGAGGGAGAAAAGGCTTCCTGCAGGGAGCCCAATGCGGGGCTCGATCCCAGGACTCCAGGATCATTATCTTAGCAGAAGGCAGATGCTTAACTGAGTGAGCCACCCAGGTGCCCCTATGAAGAACATTTTAAAGGTAAAATAATTATTTTTACTTTATATAGTGTTTACATGGAAAGCTCATAAATGCTTTCCACAAACAAGTATTAAAACAATTATGGGATCGAGCTCCACATCGGGCTCCCTGCTCAGCGGGAGGCCTGTTCTCCCTCTCCCACTCTCCCTACCTGTGTTTCCTCTCTCACTGTCTCTCTCTCTCTGTCGAATAAATAAATAAAATCTTAAAGAAAACAAAAACCAGATGAACAAATTAAAAAAAACTACATTAAACAGGGCAATAAAAAAAATATGACTTACATCTCCAGCAAAGGTATGAAAATATCCTCTAGGACTATTATATACAAAGTTATTGTATAGCTCTTGTTCCCACAATAGTTTCCCATCCTAGAAAAAGGTTAAAAGAAGAGTTACCAAAAAGATAATCTCCAGGAATAAAACAAGATAGATGACTCATATTCAGGGAATTGTTTACATTAACAATAGCTTATACCTGCACAGAAAACACACACGTATAAAATATAAATAACATATAATTTAATCAGTAATTTCTTAACAAAAGAGTAAATTTTGGATTTTTCTTTCAAAAAAACTACATATCAAATGAGTTTAAGTCAGTATGCTAAGACACTATCTCATTAGCCTTGTATTCCCAAATATAGTTACTCAGTCAAACACTAACCTAGAACAATTACTAGATCATCAATGTTAGACAGAAGGCTAGAATACTGTTGTGCATGCACTGATTATCAATGCATAGTTCCATCAGTAATAGACTGTGTGCCATCAAATATTACAGGAACATTTCATGTTCTTTTCCTCAATTTTGTAGATGCTGAGAGGGTCAAATATACCCTCTCTGTACTATTCATTAACAATTTTTGAATTCCTAACTTTTACATAGTGGCCCTCTCATTAAATACCGGTAAGAGTAGTTAGTGTCAATCATGTGCAGAAAGAGACTGATAATTAAAGTGCACCAAGGTTAAAGTATGGTTGAAAGAACCATAGATGACTGGGTTGTCTTATCTATGGCTACAGCAGAGGAAATATAATTAACCTACTACCAAAGGTGGCTAAGTGAAAGTATTCAGCAATGGTTATCTAAAATTAGAAGTAAATGGTTAGAGAAATTTAAGTATTGTCCTATTTCAAAAGCAAGGTTCTACCTACACCATGACTTAAAAATATTTAGAAAACACTATATACACATACAATGCAATTCCTTTCTTCTCAGTGAAGCTTTATGTGCACTTGATTTCTGAATAGTGCTTCTCACTGGTGATGAGAAATATGTTAAAAAAAATAAAAATAAAAAACTAAAAACTAAACAGTTTCTTTCAAACTCTGCATGTGTTCCCTATCCCCCAGAATCACTGCCACAGTCAGCCACTGCTCACGGGAGTATGCCACATCTTGTGGTATGGAGAAGTAGATGTTAAGAAGCACAAAGCTACAAAGCACAGTAACTTAAATCTTATTTAATCTCAGGGAAACACTTTGCAATAGACCCAAATGGTTCTCCCATTTTACAAATAAATAAGCCAAGGCCCAGAGAAGTAAAACAGTTTAATTACAATCTATCCATCCTTAAGTATCATCCAGGAGAGTTCAAGAAAATTTTTTTGGTAATTATTCCATTATACTTATTGCCACATACAAATATTACAGAAGCCTACCTATAGAAAAGGGTCTTTTTTTTTTTAAACTTATTTATTTGTTAGAGAGAGAAAGAGGCAGGCAGAGGGAGAAGCAGGCTCCCTGCTGAGCAAGGAGCCCAATGCGGGACTTGATCCCCGGAAACTGGGATCATGACCTGAGCCAAAGGCAGACGCTTAACTGACTGAGCCACCCGGGGGGTCCCCTACAGAAAAGGTTTCAAAAGATAAATGGAGACTTCATCTCTGCACAAAGGTAATTACTTCTACAGTAACTGTAAGAGGGTGAATACCTGAGAATGGGCATCCAATCTAGAACAATGTGGATTTGTGTTTGAATGTGTGAGGTACAAAGGTGTGAAAATCTGAACATTGTTACTGTTGTCTCAACATAGGTATAAGTTGCAAATACATTATTATAGGTAGTGTATCATGCTTTAAACCTAGACTGAAGTAATTAACAGTATATACTAAACTAAAATATACTTTTATAGCTCCCTGAAAGGATTATATATGCTTGGAATAAAGGAGTACCAGTAGAAAAAGAGAGAATACAGAGAAAGCTCAAGATGTAAAGGTATTAAAAGGTATTAAAAGCAAAAACAAAAACAGAAAAATCCTTTAATGTGTAGTGGCTGTAGAAAGATAAAACAGGGAACTATTCACGTTCTGGCTTACAACCTATTCCTGTTTGGTTGCAATGCCCATGTTTCATTTTCTAAAAGCAAGCCTCACTCTTCAAATATTAAGTATAATTTAAAAAATACACACAAGATGAACAAAAATTATATATATAACAATATATTTAAATATATAAATAATTATAACTGAGGTTAAAAAACCTATTTACCTACAGTTTAAAGTAGAAATAAAACTCACCTTAATATCAAATATTCTTAAAAAATAAGATCTCTGTGGATTGTCCTTAACAAGACAAGCGACACCGCTGCACTTCTTTGACCACATACAGTTACGATCTGCTGCATATAACTGTACCACTGCTGAAGACATAGTCTGGAAAATATAAAATGTATAGCCATTAGGTTCAACATAACATTCAGATGACCACAGCACCTCTGACATCTTCACTGAAACTTCTTAAGAGACATCCAACCAGAATCACCCAGCTAGGCCGCTCCTGATTCCCTGTCCCACAGAAACAAGGAGATGATAAACATTTGTTGTTACTTTAAGCCATTACTTTTTGAAGTAATTTCTCAAACAGTAGTAAACAACATAATAACTGCACTAAACGTTAACTATAGAAAAAAGCAAACATTTACTGATGCTTAGAATGTGACAAAAATTGTATTAGGTGCTTTTAAATACAACTCCATTTAAATGTATTACTATTATAATCTCATTTAATGCTTGCAAAACCCAACATTAAAGGGATAAATAATCTGCCTCAAATCACACAGCAAAGTGGCAGAGTTCCAATGCAGGCAATTTATGACTTCAGATCCTGTAGTCCCCAGTCCCCCTCTTTCGATGGGGCGTACATTCCAAGACTCCCCAGTGGATGCCTGAAACTGCAGACACTACAAATCCCATATATACTGTTTTTTCCTACATATCTATGATGAAGTTTAATTTATAAATTAGGCAAAGAGATTAAAAATAACAAAAAGTAAAACAATTGTTATAACTATTGTAATAAAAGTCATGTGAATGTGGGATCTCTCTCAAAATATCTTATTGTACTATACTCATCCTTCTTGTGATGATGTTAGATGATAAAACACACCTATGTGAGTGGATGAAGTGAGGTGAATGGAGTAGGCATTATAAGGTAGTGTTAGGCTACTACTAACCTTCCGACAATATGTCAGAAGGAGGATCATCTGCTTCCAACAGCAGTTGACTGATCGTGTGTAACTAAAACTGTGGAGAGCAAAACCATGCATGAGGGAGGACTACTATACCACTTTCCAATACTGTGAACACTTAAGTATATGAAGTAGTAGTGTTAGTAAAGGCTGACATCCATATAGCAGTTAATTACTTTAGTATGGTACTAAATCACACTTGAAAGCAAGATTTGAAGGTACTAATTATAGTGCTAGACATTCTGAACATATCATTATCCTAGAAGGCAGATTCTAAAATCATTTTTAAAAAATTTTTTTGAAGATTTTATTTATTTGACAAAGAGAGAGAAAGAACACAAGCAAGGGAGTGGCAGGCAGAGGGAGAGGGAGAAACAGGCTCCCCACTCAGCAGGAAGCCCAAAGCAAGCTCAATCCCAGGACGCTGGGATCATGACCTGAGCCAAAGGCAGGTGCTTAACCAACTGAGCCACCCAGGCACCCGTCTAATATCATCTTTTTTAAAGAGGGCAAAACTGAGGGAAAAAAAGATATTAAGTGACTTGCACATGGCCATGCTTGAGAGCTATACTGAAGATATAAAGAATTATCAGTTATTATTGTACTAATTTTCCCAAGGATATACCTAACTAGTACCCTTTTAGATGTATAAGCGAAAAGCTAATTGCTACAAGCAAGGAACATGGCACATTAAGTTTTACCATGTTGCCACCTCCCTCATGACAGTGTCATGAAAAAATGGAAACTCCAGTTTACTTCTAAAGTTGTTTTTTTTTTAATGTTATAATCTTGGATGTAACTATTCGATTTTAGTTTCCATTAAGAGTGATACAAAGCAGTTACAAATCCTCTGAAAATAATAATCATGTTTTCTGGCCTAAATCTAGTGCTTTCACTCCAAAACCACAAATCAAGGAAATAATTTCAAATACAACAAAAATTTATTATTTATAATATGAATATGAAACAACATATCTATATAAATACATTAGAAAAGGAATTTAAATAACCAGATGATGGATTATTTAAATAAGAACAGTACAATGAATAGTGGGCAGTTCAATGAATAGTGGGCATTGTTAAAAAAATAGACTACATTAAGATTTAGAGATAAAGCTGTTTTGGGTTCCTTAACTATGGCTGGGGATTGCCCTCCTTTAATAAGAGGATTCCAAAGAATGAATATATATATATATATATATATATATATATGTCTTTTATAATAATAAAGTCGAAAATGTAAGATCAGTGTACTTTTGGGGACCAAAATTCTATGTATAAAAACTTTCCTAAGTAACACTACTCCAAGTTTTTAACTTTTTGTAGACCAGACTCATCTTTGAATTTCAGAGTCATGAATAGGACACAAAGCAGCAGGAAAATTTCCACAAGAGCCATTTAAAAAATTATGAAGATTGCTTAGAAACATAAAAAATGAATATAGTAGGATACTGGGCTTACAAAAGGATATTGAAGACTGTTGAGTAAGCCTTTGGCCTGCTCAAAACATATTTTGTTCTTCTGCAGTTGTAATACATATCATCATCTGCTTGGGCTCCCTGACCCCAAACTCTAACACTATAACCTCAAAAAAGAAAAAAAAAAAAAAAAAGGGATTTTGCATATATTATCCAAAGGTATTAAAGAGTAGGCTGAAGGATTCAAAACTGGAGGAGTTAATTCATTTTCTAAGTCAAATTCATATAAATTACAGCTCTTTTAGTATGAATGATGCTGTCAAAATGTATTCATTTCTAAAAAGAAAAACAACTAGGAAACTAGATACCAAGGGGAAAAAAAAAAACATCAAAAAGTCCTTTTAGGGGCACCTGGGTGGCTCAGTTGGCTGGGCATCCAAATCTTGATTTCAGCTCAGGTCATGATCTACGGGATCATCAGATAGAACCTGTGACTGTTTCCCACTCTGCAGGGAGTCTGCCGGTCCCCCTCTCCCCCTGCTCCTCCCCTACCTTACTCATGCAGTAAGCCCATGTATGCTCTCTCTCAAATAAATAAATCTTTTTTTTTAAATCCTTTACTTTTTTTTTTTAACTGAAAAACAAGAAGTGATAGCTTGCGAAAGAAACAACATATTATCAAATAGAGTCTGAAATTCCATTATGGAAATTCCCTTGCAAATGACCAAATATTAACATGTAAAATACTGAATGTATATGTGAACTTAAGAAAAAAAGTAACAAAAAACTAAAAATCCACATCTAAATATTTATATAAATTTAAAACAAATTCTTTTAACATATGCTTAAGAAATAAAGACACACGAAACAGTTCAATAACATTCCACATAAATGTGGTTGGCACTATAAACCTTATTCTAAAACAACTTATAAAATTTTAATACTGAAGAAACCACCTAACCATAAGCTATTTTCAGTTACTGGATTTTCAAAATTTTGCTACAATCATATATCAGTCTAAGTATGTAACTTTCACTCCCTTTTATCTTAAACTAGCAAAGTCTGAAAAATATACAAATCCCTTTCTGATTAACTTAGGAAAATTATAGTGAATGCAAGAATAGCTTATACACATAAAAGTTAATATATAAATGCTAGAAATATAAAAACAGTGGCTATCCCTTAAGCTCTAGGTTGACGGCGGCTTAATTAAGTCTTTAAAAACATTCCTTCCATTCCTTTAAAGTAATTACAGCTAATCAACTCCATTACTTCTTGTCTTTCATAACTGAGAAGGTACTATTAAAAAACAACTGAGGGACAAGTGCCAAGGAAGGAAAATCTAAGCCTAATAATGTTAGGTTTAAAATTTGTTAATTAAAGCGAAAAAGTACTATACCAACTTTGTAGAAAAAAGAACCTATCCTATCTTACACATCCCTGATATTTCAGTACAAAGTTACTGCCATCTCATATTCATCCTCAGAACTAAAATTTTTAAAGGATATGAATCTTGAAGTATTATTATAAAGGGGCATCATATTGGCAACTTACTCTCAAGTGATTCTGAAAATTATGTGTATATACATAGAAAGAAGAAACCCTGGTAAAATGTTATAAATGCTTTACAAATCTGGATGAAAGATATGCAGGAATTCTTTGTACTATATTTGCAACTTTTCTGTAAGTATGAAATTATTTTGAAATTAAAAAAATTTTAAAGCCCAAATGACTCATAAAAGTGTAAGACTCAGCTTCCTTCCATGGCCATGTAAGTCTTGGGAAGGTGATTCTCTTCTCAGAGCCACTGCTATCTGTCCATATACAAAGCACCACCTACACTGATCCAAAACTAAGACAACTACCACTTCTTCAAATTCCTTCTATACTGACACCAACTTTGTTAAAAGAAACTTCATCCTGAGTAAGACTTAAATCACAAATATCCGCCACTTCTATAGTTTAAATTTTTTTTTTTAAAGATTTTATTCATTTATTGGACAGAGAGAGACACAGTAAGAGAGGGAACACAAGCAGGGGAGTGGGAGAGAGAGAAGCAGGCTTTCCGCTGAGCAGTGAGCCTGATGTGGGGCTCAAGTCACCCAGGCGCCCCTATAGTTTATTTATTTATTTATTTATTTTTTTAAAGATTTTATTTATTTATTTGACAGAGAGAAATCACAAGTAAGCAGAGAGGCAGGCAGAGAGAGAGGAGGGAGAGCAGGCTCCCTGCTGAGCAGAAAGCCCGACGCGGGGCTCGAACCCAGGACCTGGGATCATGACCTGAGCCGAAGGCAGCGGCCCAACCCACTGAGCCACCCAGGCGCCCCGCCCCTATAGTTTAAATTCTTTTCACATTATCAGAACAATCATGTTATATAACAGGTCAGAGCAAGAATTTTAGATATGTAAAATAGATGTTTCTTTTATTACAGAATCAGTTAATAACAGGGAAAAGACTGGAAAATACTAGGTCTTATAGATTCTTGACAACCAACTGCCTATAAGTACTAATGGGACTTAATAGTGAATAATTGTCTACAACTACTATTATTTTAATAATCCAATAAATACACAATGCTGTTAAAGGAAATAATTTTTAAAGATATATATTTAATTAATATCCAAAATAAACAGTGTGGGGGGAAAAATCACATGATTAAATAACTAAGTCTTTTCAGTGGTCACAATAGCCTAGATTAATAGTCAAAATACTCCTCCAGCTTTTATGTGTGTGTGTGTGTATACCCAAGTTCCTAAAAACTAA